ACACATACACAACTCTGCATTGCTCCGCCATCTTGTCAGCACTCTAGTTGTTTAATAGCTCTATGGTAATAAAACACATACAAGCGTTAGTTGGCGTCCTACACTAGCTGCGTAGAACGTATCGTTTTTTTACGCTCTCAATGAGCGTTGTTGGCTCTCTTGTTCTATTTATACTCTTTGATATTATTCTGAATGACCGACACGTTTCAGTAAAAGAAATTAATTTGTTCTAGTGACCGAGTTTGTTGTTATGCTGATGACTTGGTTCTGTATAGATATTGGATTTCAAGTGATCACAAGTCACAAGAAGAAATTACTTTATTTAATCCTATAGTATACCGACATAATATATATAAACTTTATTTCATCTCAGCACAAAAAGTACAAATAATCTTGTTCGATTAAAATAATCGTTCTTCCACAAGATCGAGAAAAATTACATATAAAAACATTTAAAATATCAAAGCATTAAAAAATTCAAAACAGTAATATACACTACATTAGATTGAAAAGCATTTACTAATAAATTATTTATTGTTATTTATAATTATATTATTATTATAATCGTAATAATTATTATATTTAATTTTTTATTATCATTATTTTTATTATTATTGTTATTAAATTCTCAGTTTATTTTATATATATTTATTTTCAATTATTTGTATAATGTTATTTTGGAAAGTGCGATATAGAATTTTTAAAATTTCATTTTTGTCAAAATTGTAAGCATTCCAATATGTTGCACCTCGATATGAAATGCTACGTTTTTTAAAACTTGTGTTTGGTTTAGGAATAAATAAATTTGTTGCACTTCGCCGGAAATTGTAATTAAAAGTATTTGATTTTAATATATTATTTTGTAAATAAGTGGGCGCCTGTTTTAACAGAATCTTGTAAATCATTATTAAACATTCATATTCATCACGTTGAGATAAAGAGAGCAAATTTGCTTCTTTAAGGGCTATAATACAGAGAGATAGGTTGTTATCGTGGCTCATGACCGCCTGATGTCTGGTCATTTAGGTATAAACATCGTTTTGTCATGTTCTGATTTCGTTAATTATTTTATTTTATATATTTATTTATTCATTTATTTTTCTGCTTTTTATTGGACGCACCGTCACGTACATGTGCAACTGTTGCAAAAGCGTCGTTTCTAAATAAAGAATAATATATGCCTAGCATTGTTTCCAGATAATCCACTAAGTGAGCAAGACCCCACCACGAAATAAAATCTATCCCCTTTTATAACAATACAATGGGTTTGGAGCAAAATGGATATAAAGTTACAAACGCCTACGCAATTTTTGAAGAGTGGAATGAATTCTTTACTTGTATTTACATAATATACAGATGATGGACACAAGAAGGGCCAATGGATTTCGCTCAACCATTCCAATTAATGTTTGCACTCAAGTGTGTTGCGTCGCACTTTGTAAGAATCGTCGCGCTTTGTAATAAAGTCTGTCGCACTGTGTAATAACTGTCTGTCGCACTTTGTACTAAAGTCTGTCGCCCTTTGTAATAAAACTCGATCCATGTGATCATCTATAGATTGTTGATAAATTTCATTTTTCTCGGGGATCGAATTTGATTTTTCCACCTTTTTCGTATTGTGTCATTTTCACATCAATGAAATGGCTCCAACCCAATAGAACCCGCCCTGGATCTAGTTAGATTGGAGGGTGTCAAGTCCAAATCCAGAAGGGGTCAAAGTTGATATTTCTCGGATTATATAATTTTATGTCCGACGATAGGGATATGTCTTTAATTCTACTAGGCCCCCAGTCGGTCATATCATAAATATGGCATGTGGGTATCGTGTTCAGTTATTACAAAGTACGACAGCTCAGTTATATACAAAGTGCGACAGACTTTATTACAAAGTGCGACAGTTAATACAAAGTGCGACGATTATTACAAAGTGCGACGCAACACACGTGAATGCCCTCTGAAAATTGCTCAGAAGGATGTTTGTTAACTAACTGCAACGATTAACGAAAAGTCACAAGAAAAGACAGACACATTCTTTAGGACGTAATAATGAGGACCTTGCTGTCGGTATTAATGTACTCTTTCTTTTAATTCGTATCATCACTTGTCGTAATATAGTGTATGCGTAACAAACAAAAATGGTATGGCATTGTTTGTTATGGATACTTTTCACTATGACATGTGATTATGGTAATAGATAGGTTTGAGACAGTTTTACAAATGTAAAATAGCGGAACGTTTATTAAATACACAATAATATTGTGAAATAGTGCGTTAACAAAAACACACGTCAATACCTCATACCTGCCGTCTCATACACTTCCCTACCTATTCAATCCTTAACGACATCACATGATCTAAGATCAATAAAACTCTTATTAAACCCACAACTTTACACCTTTAATGTATGTTTGGTACATGATGAAATTACTAGTTGTAGTAACATGAGTCATGTTAAATTTTGGCCTCCAGGTTATTAATTTGCGTATATAATAATGAACTAAAAAAGTGGACCTTTAGAAATTGGTGGGTGGGGATCCTCTGCACCTCCTGCCTACGGGCTTGGCACATACTACTAAGCAATACGTGTCTCACTATGTGTTGTGACGAGAAAGATATGGTACAGACCGAATGGAGATTCAAGTTCATTACTATAGATATACGGTAGAAAAGTTAGTCTAGTAGGAAGAAGAAGAAAAAAGTCACAAGAAACGACAGACATATTCTTTAGGACATGTGATCACGAGGACCTTGCCGTCAGTAGTACTGTACTCTTTTTGTTATATCGTATCATCACATGTCGTAATATTGTGTATACATAAACAACAAAAATGGTATGACATTGTTTGTTCTGCATACTCTTCACTATGATACGTGATTATGACAATAGATAGGTTTGAGGCAGTTTTACAAATGTAAAATAGCGGAACGTTTATTAAATATACAATCATATTGTGAAATAGTACGTTAACAAAAACACACGTCAATACCTCATACCTGCCGTCTCATACACTTCCCTACCTATTCAATGCTTAACGACATCACATGATCTAATATCTATAAAACTCTTATTAAACCCACAACTTTACTTTATACATTTAATGTATGTTTGGTATATGGTGAAATTACTAGTTGTAGTAACATGAGTCATGTTAAATTTTGGCCTCCAGGTTATTAATTTGCGTATATAATAATGAACTAAAAAAGTGGACCTTTTGAAATTGGTGGGTGGGGGTCCTCTGCACCTCCTGCCTACGGGCCTGGCACATACTACTAAGCAATACGTGTCTCACCATGTGTGATGACGAGAAAGATATGGGTACAGACCGAATGGAGATACAAGTTCATTACTATAGACATACGGTAGAAAAAAATATTCTAGTAGGAAGAAGAGTTTCTCATGTACCCCAAGATATATTTTTTAACTTACATTTTTGTTAAGTATTAGTTAAAAATATGTTAATATTTATGTGACATTGCCGCATAAAAATGATTGTATAACGATGTGATTAAGCATTACTGGTTCTGTATCATTTTAGGGTGATGATTTAGTGGTCACGTGTACATATGGCACCATGGATCGGGACAATATCACAGTGGTAAGACATAGTAACCTATTTATAAAAATGACTGTAAATGTATAACCACATACCCTGTATAGGAAATGGCGTATAACCCACGAACAAGAAGGGAGTTGTATGAAAAAAAAAAAAATTGTCTTAATTCGAACATGCAACCTCTCGTTATGATACGAGATTATTATTATTATTATTATTATTATTATTATTATTATTATTATTATTATTATATATATGTATATATATATACATATATATATATATATATTTCTTTTAATATTTTTTCTATGTTTCAGGGAGGATTAAGAACAAAAGATGAGATGTGTTTAGTGTTTCTGTATTACTATCCTCGACAACCGAATATTGTTACTTGTGTATCATATGAAAGTGTCGATGATTATTTTACAACATTTGGAATTACCATCGATGGTGCACTGTAAGATGAAATTTGAATTGTTATTCCTGTTATTGTCATCGTTACAATTATAATTAATATTCCTATTAAATTATTCTTATTATTATTGCTAACGCTATTGCTATCGTTACATTTTTTACTGTCAAGACATTGTACTTATAATTTTATATTTTTATATTGTCTGTTTTTAAAATTGACAGAAATCCCTACAATATGACTGCTTTCCGGTACTTTTACCATTATATCTCTACAAGTCAAACTCAAAAGGAAATCAATGAACGGCTTTTTAAGGTGTACAATGGAGATCGTTACGGTCAATGTCTCGATTATAACTCAAATCAAATTGAGGTATGGGTTACACTTTTACTGTTATTGCATAGAGAGTTTCCCCTATGATTGGTTTAGTTTTTTATTAGCGTAAATGTTGGCACGCACGCTAACTGTGACGTGAATATCTGCATGATTTTATTTGGACGACTGACGACTGAGACAATTATAAAATATTGTTTGTTATTTCCTATGCTTAAGGGTTGCTGTTATATTGGCACCGTAGCAGGAATCCCATCCAAGTACTAATAATACTCCTATGTGGAGAGAAGCTGCTCAAATAAATTTCCTTGCTCAAGGAGAAAAACGAAATGCATAACAAAGCATTAACCCCAGCATTGAGGTGGAGAGACCGCCAGTTCCCGAAGGACGAAACCGCTCGTCCCAGATTATGAAAACAATGATTACAATTAATTGTAAATCATTATGATTTTTAAATATTTTGTGGTGGTCTGATTATGCAATTAAAATCATAGTTATGTTTAGACGTATGATTATGTGTAGCGGATATGATTATGACGACATTTGTGTATACGGCAATGAAAACGATGCTTATAATGATGATGATTATTATACTGATCATGATAATGTGATTATGATCATCGTAGATCGACTTCCTAGTCCACATATTAAGCGCTCTGAGCATCTTACATTAGAAGGATACGGCGCTATATAAATCTAAATTAATAATAATTATTATTATTATAATTATTATTATTATCATTACTATTTTTATTATTGTTATTGTTATTATTATTATTATTATTATTATTAATATCGCAATAATAATCACAATGCATTACCATCAATGCTATGATAATAATATCATAATTACATTTTCAACAAATTTATAAATATTCTGCTATTATTATTATCATCGCCATCATTATCATCATCATCATCATCATCACTTTCATTCACTGAAGCAAACGTATCATGGATATCATCGCATTGTGATAAACAATATGTTCAAAATCGTCATCGTCATCATCAACATCATCATTGTCATCATCATCAAAGCCTATTTAAAATTGCTAATAATTTATCTGTCACCCAATTAAATAATATAATTCCTATTATATAATTATATTATTATTATTATTATAATTATTATTATTATATTATTATTATATAATTCCTATTATTTTTATAGAGCATTATTATTAAATAGGTAAGTCAGACAAGATAAAAATCTAGAATTTTGGTTTATATTATTTGATGATAATTAGGTTTCTATTATTTTTCTTTACTTAGGGAGTCAAATCTGAAATAGATTTTTCAGAATGGTACAATAAGGGACAACGAGCTGCCAAGAAGGACGTGTGTGGCGTCAATTCAATAAATGGAAGTGATCAGATGAGGGCGGGTAACTTAAGTTTCACAATGATGCTTGCCATGTTCTTTACCATGTTGTTCCTGTAATATACCTAATAACTGTAACATATGCAAGGGTCAGTGCTGTTTAACTTTAGCTACACATTAATAGGCCTACGTTTTATAACGTTGAACTTAGGCCTACGTTTTATAACGTTGAACTTAACTCACAACCACACACACACATGTGTATATTGCTGTACTGTATGAAGTCACCTGAAGCCTG